CTAGCCCCTATAGGCGTACAATGATTTCTTTCACAAGTTCGCACTGGTGAGTAATGGTCCTCCATCCTTATTGTGAGGTTGGGGGAGGGTGACGTGGTAAAGCTAATTGAAATTTTTTTGAGGGAGTTCCTCAAACAAAGCAGAATGAGCTGTGCTTCCAAAAGGATAAAAAAAAAATTTTGAATAAAAGTCTGTTTTAAATAAAAATGTGAAATTTGAAATCTTTTTTGTATTTGTTTTCACATACTTTAACAGATTACGCTGATGAGGGTTTGTGTTGGTGTAGACATTCTCACCCACTGCAAAACATACAATAAGAATCGGCTGTCCTCCAAGACTTAGCGGCTTTTGCCTGAGGGAAGAGAACACAGACAAGTGTTTGACTTCAGAGAAAGGAAAACAAGCACCGGTCTTTTCTCTGTAGCCGGTGTGTAATTGCAAAATGCACCAGCACCTTCAAGAAACAACAGAATGTCACAGCCTTTTCCCTCCACCCAATTTCTCTCCCATTGTTCTGTTCTCCCTGTACAACCAGAACCCATACATTTAACAGTGATTTCTTCAGCCGCAAAATCCCCTGCTATTCCTCAGGACAAATCCACATGACCCAACCATAAAATGACACGCTCGAGCATCTCATCACACCTCGGTCTGCTGTGAGACCTGCCGGCGCTTCACTCATTACTATGGGCTCAGATATCAGAGGCCAGGGGTGTAGTTATGGTTGTGGGATTACGGGCTCATACAGGGTAGGGGGATCGAAGCTTGTCCTTTGGGCCTTAAATCACATCATGAGCAAGCAGGGACTCTGACTGCTGGTGCATGAAGGAGGAAAAGGCACGTTTCATGAACCATGACCTGTCACTGCACTATACACAGCCTTCAGGAACCGCACCGCTGGTAATTGCAAATCTTGCCTTCAGCTATATGTAGCAGCAAAACACCTGTCTTATAGTGCTCTGACAGGCATCAGCTAGTCTGGTCTTGGTAAACAAGTCTCTAGAGAATGTTTGATTTTTTTATTTTTATTTTGTGTTCTTTATCTTCTAACCAGCAAAGCAAAGTGTGTCCTCTCTCATGCTGCATTCCTGGCTTTGTTTCACCTATCAGTCCATCTCTCTATGGTGTGAAACTGCAGTGGCATGTTGGTTCACTTCTGAATTTACAGCATCCAACCATCTTTGGTAGAAAATGCAACATATCGTGACAACATTGACAAGAGGTCCGGTTTCCGTCCAGTTACAAACTGTACATGTGGTTTGCATGGAGCAAACATCACCCTATAAAGGTCAACTGATTGTCAAAACCAGCTCGGTATATGAAAGCATGCTGTGCACACATCCAGAAAAACACATAATACTAAGTTTTTACTAAAGCCTTTTTTTTTTTATCTCGGTCCCAAACATCAAAGGGAAGATTTGCTATTGGTGTGTTTGTTGTGATGTCATCTGCCTTTATTTACTGATGCTAATGAGTATTTGGATGTAGCTCAGACATTCTGCTGCTTCATTTCTGTTCAGTCTATGAATTTGCTTTAGGATTTGAAAAAAAAACCTTTTTTGTTTTGAGCCATCTTTGCATGCATACATGACACACATTTTAGAACATTGTGTTTTGGAAAATGCTATTATATATTGTATTTTTAGACCACTGGAAAAAGGCCCCAGCTTCCCCCAGCCCTCCACACCCCTGTATATAAAACTGATAATTGGGTGTCTTAAAACATAGTTTTATTTTACTTTTGTTGTTTTGCTGTTTTTTAAACCGTCATCTGCTTTGTCAGTGTGTTTGGACTATGATATTTTTGTTTCCTAAAATTAGCAAATTTTCAAAGTCATGCTTACGAATTTGTAGCTTTATGTAAATCACCATATGTTCCCTCTTGTATAGCTCGCAGTGTCTTGGGCCTTATTTCCAGCTTTTTCTTTTTCTCTTAATGAATTGTTGGGTAAAATCTTTGAAATGTCTGGATGTCACGTGCCAACCAACACTAAGATTCAACTCTAAAATTAAGACAGCAGAACAATGTTCTGTTTTTTTTAAATAACGCAATAAGACAGCTTCATTGAAACAGCAGCAGAAAATTTCTACATGGAAATAAACGAGGAACTCTTCCAGTCTGCAACATCCAAACTCAATATCCTGGTAATTGCTGCAGTTTTGACAGATGTGTCTCGTGTTTCTTCCCATTTTCTGCCTTATTGAAGTTAGCAAGCCTCAAAGAGCACCAAATGTTGTCTTCCTGAATGATTTGCAACCACTGAGAGGCTTCATGTTAGATTAATTTCTGACAACTTATACAGACTCCTAAAGGTTCTTAAATTATGGACTACAGATTTGTTCACTTCTATTTTCTTCTAAACATTCAAACATCTCAATAAGATTTTAAATTATATTTCAATTACCGACAGCATACACTGCTTGAAAAACCCTACCAATGTAATTAGCACAATTTATCCAGAACTTTTGCAGAAAAGATGTCAGTTTGGCCAGCCTCAAAAATGTCCCTCTTAGCAGACTGTAGTCTGAACTTCAAACACCAAAATCTTCAAGGAACCTGATACATTGACCTCCCTGGTGCATGCATGCACAACATCTGCTTTAAAGATTCCTATAAAGGAAAAGGTTGTAACTTCAAGCAGCAGATGTAGGAATTACTTTCAACAGCAACAGTACCCCTAATTGTCTGAGGTACTGAATTTTGGGTATTATTTACCTGTAAGCCATGATCACTAATCATCCCTTTCTGAAATATTATATTTTTAAATCATATTCAAATTTTCTGAAGTGTACTAGTGAATGGCCTGTGCTTGTATTGTGCCTTATCTTGTCCAGAGTGCAGCAAAGCCCTTTACACTACAATGTAACCATTGATTGTAGTGAGCTACATTGTAGCCACAAGACTCCTTGCCACAAGCAGACAAGGTCTTTCACCCAAGGACACAACTCCAAGAAATTCAGAAAAAAGTTTTTGAAAAGTCAAGTCAGGGGATGGATACAAAAAAGAATCTCCCACTGCGACACATGGCGGTATCATGCTGTGGGGAGGCTTTTCTGAAAAAGAAGATCAAATAAATTCATCAGAATAAAATCCTGGATAAAATACTGCAAGAGAAGAACGGCTTCAGGGAGCATTTATGTTCCAGCAAAACACTGAACCACAAACATCCAGCTAAAGCTACACAGAAATGTTTCAGAGACAACAAGACAACAACCAAGTCAAAGTTCAGACTGGAAGTCGACATACAATTATTGGTAGGGCTTAATCAGGACTGTTCACAGCTGATCTCCATGCAGAGCTGGAATGGATTTTCAAGAAAGAAAGTCGTAAAACTGGAGGGTCCAGGTGTGAAAACCCAATTGGGACCAGACGCCATACTGTGACTGAAGCCAAAGGCTTGTCTACTAAATAACGGCTTGAAGGGGATAAATATTTACACAATCACTTATTTTAAACCAAATATTTCAATTCAGTTGTCATTATTTTGTAAAAATCGGTTTTCATTTTGAGATTAAAGGGGTATTTTTTGAGAAAAAGTTTTTGACAAAAAAAACTTTTTTATATCATGATTGATTTGCAAAACCAATAAAAATGTAACGCATCCAAGGGGGTGAGTACTTTTTACAGGCATTGAACAATGGGTTTCTGAATTTGCTGATACATACTGTATTGAAGTTTCCCAAGTAAAGGTTATAGTGTTGTATTCCAGTTTAGGTTTTGAGCTAACCACCTTAAGACCACTTTGGTTCGATCTAGTCACGACACAAAAGGAGCACATGTGTGTTCTCAGAGCAAGTGACCCACTTGCAGCCCACCTTGGGATCATTAGAGACCCACATGGGCACCATTTTATGAGTCAGAACAACAGCTCATCACTCACTCATGAGAGACCCTCGTGGGACTGTTTGCCAGGTGGGCATCGCACACAGCTTCGGTTCAGGATATTATTTTTGTCATGCAGACTAATGAGCACCTGGTAAGTTAATTGTGGAGGAAGCACATCGGATTAACAGCTTTAAATATACTTGAATGTGTTTACAAACCAGCCAAACAACTGAAGAGGCTTCCACCGAATAAATTGCTGCACAGCATTCTTAAGCTCAAAATTATCTGGAAGTCATGTGGGTGTCCGTCTATCTAAAAGCGTGTCCTCTAATAGATCACAAAGTCAAAGGGACATTGGGTGCAGATACGGTATAAATGTGATTGTTTGTGTGCATGTCTCAGAAGAGGTTCCTGAATAAGGGGGTTGGGCAGAGTCCAAACCTGACAATACAATCACCCTTCAGTACTCCCTTATGGGCGGTCTTCAAGGAGCCTGGGTTTCATCAGGTTTTGGATTTCAGACCTATTGATCATCTGCACTGAGGGGCCTCTGTGACAAACCCTCAGCAGGACTTCTCCATCAGTAATGAGTCGGCCAACCTCTTCACAAACACACACACATAGTCACACACACTTGCTCTTCCGTGTTATTGGTTCCCGGGCTGTGAAACAGAGACATGGGGATATGGTCCCTGGGAAAAGCTTTAAAATCTTGAGCTGACATTGTTTTTGATTATTTTTAATGCCGTATATGCAGTCACCTGTGAACTGGCAAAAAGAAACTAAACAAAAAAAAAAAAAAAAAAAACATGTACAACCTTTCCTTTTTGTTAATCTTTTCATCATATGAAGCTGACTGATTCACTGACCAGGGTCCTCTCTTCTGAACTCGTTTATCTCGGTGACCTTTAACCAACAGTGATCATGGCAGAACTGCAATTTCCCCCGTAATGACCAAAGACAGTTTTTAATAAATAAATAAATGATACCGTGTGTCATTTGTGGAGATCTTGATGAATACGCGTTGACTTTTCTTTCCCCTTTCTGTGATAAACGTGTCACTCGAGGAGAACGTGAAGGTGGATCGAGCGCTCCATCTAGTGGCCGAGGGAAACATGACGTTCCATGATTTCGCCGTCGTAAAAATAACACCACGTGGACACAAACGCTTGACGGCAGAGTGAGAGCATGGCTTCTCAGCTGATCTGTCGCGAAACCCAAAGCAGGTGAACAAAATATGTGTTCATTCAGGAATAATTACCGCGCTCTTCCGGGTGCTAAATATCCCCCAACTTGTTGTCCTTTCAGGGTGAGTTCAGTGCTAAACAGAGACGTAAAGCAGTTTGGGAAAAAGTTCATGTTCGACTGTAATGAAGAAACCTGCTGGAACTCTGACCAGGTAAAAAAAAAAGAAAAAGTGACAGCTTTGTTCCGAGTTCATGTTATCATTGTCTAAAACTTTACAGTAAACATTGTTGCACCGTGAAGAAACAAAGCTGATTTAGACATCTAGTCTGGTGAAGGTAACTGGTTAAATCAGAACTTGGTGCACACAACATTAAGACAAATGTTTGGAGGTGGTATTATGGTCTGTGAACACTTGACCCTATAGCCTGGTTACTTTGTCTTTGTTTATCTTCTTCTCTGTGCAAAAAGTGAGCGAAGCAGCCAAAGATGGTTAGTTAGACTCAAAGTCCTCATATTTTTTTATCATTTGGGATTTTTTTTTCTCCCAGCATTTCTACTTGTTGAAAGTCAGAGGAGATAAAAAGCTGAGACCAAATTGGCCTAATATTGATAAGGATGCTTTTTTAAGCAAAACATTAAATGATACTGTTTGCCTTGACACAGTTAGCTTTACTGAGTTAAGAATTGTATTCTAAATAAGTATGTGCACCAAGCACAGTATTACAAAACATTCATTAGCATTAGCATTCTGTTGGGCATTTAGGATACTAATTGACCAAGACTTAAGATTTTTTGCTTAGATATTTTGCTCTAGCTTTCTAAAGGTGAAACCAACTTATTAATAGATCCTAAACCTTTTGACGTTGACAACAGTGATTGTCAGTAAAACTAATTATTTCGACTGAACATGCTGCATGTAAATGTTCTTTTATTTAATCAGAACTAAAGACATCAGAATTTCTTTTATTTGAATTTGGTTGAATACGTATTTACTTGAAATGATGATAAACGATAAGGGTTTTGTTTCTATGTGCAGCATTTTCTAGACATCCAGGAGTTCAGAAAATAGAAAACTGCATTTTTTTTTATGACACATTGCATTGTCCACGTCACAGTGTGGCTCAGTCGTCATCTTCTCTTTGTCAGGGGGACTGTCAGTGGGTGCTGCTGGAGTTTCCCCAGTCGGTAAAAGTCTCGGAGGTGAAACTCCAGTTCCAGGGTGGCTTCTCGGCTAAAACATGCAGATTAGAAGGTAAACGCTGCCTACTAGAAGTAATTGCCATTCTAACTTTAGAGTTTCCTGTAGCAAGCGCAACAAGATGATGCAAACTATTTTTGTGTTTGTGCTTTCTGCAGGTTGCTGCAAAGACGGAGACTTCACAGGGTTGAGCCAGTTTTACCCAGAGGACAATAACTCTCTTCAGATATCCCCACTTGCATGTTTACATTAGGACTACAGTCATGCATGTTGCATATTCACAAGACACGTCTGCAGGTGCTTCTTATTAAATTAAACATTAGGGAATAGCTTAATATTGCTACGCAAGTAATTTTTTTGCCAAAAGTAATTTTTTTTTTAAATTTCATATATTTTTGTCTAATTCATATATTGGCAATTAAAAGGCAGTGATAGATTTTCTTTCTGCCAAAATCACTTTTGGCCAAAAAAATTACTTCGGCGATAATTTTAGGAAGGTAACGATACATTAATATATTACTTCAAAAAGTGAAGCCTGTATGTTTATAATTGTTCACTACTACTTGTCTAAATAAATTTTTTTAGACTCATTAATTTTTGATGAATTTAGATAGTTGGATTTTCACTTTTCCAGCTGAGACAATTTTATTGAGAAGCACCTGTACATTAAGATGACTTGATGAAATGAACACATTAGTAATAGCTTAAAGTCATTTTGAATTGCCATTTTTTTAAAATAATTAGAACAAAAACATTTACATTAATCATCTAACAATTTTTCTTGTATCCAGCAGTTTATATAAAAACAGAAAATGATAGTTTTACTTATTTGCTCTTCTTTGAGAAATGTAACTTCAAAGAACAACAGCACGCTTCCTCTTGCTGTTTTGTTCGGCTCATAATAGTTATTGGACAATATTTTTCTGACCACGTTGTTCATTATCGCCACCCCTATTTTGTTCTTAACTCCACACCCACAGCTTTCCCATACAGGAGGCCCCCACCGTCGACAAAGTAAAAATACTGTTTGAGAACAGCACTGACTTTTTTGGGAGAATTGTTGTTTATTCCTTGGACATTTTGGGGCAAAAAACCTCATGAGCATTTTTTTTCATGCTCTCATGAGAGAGGAAATAACCCACGGCCAAAGTACAGGGTGGTGTGGTGACACTTGGAAAACATGTCATCTGTAGTGCCACCTTGTGAACTGATGCAAACGTGGCCTTTTTTGGTATTGCTGCGTTCAGACGTCTGTGTGGAAGTTTCACTTCACGTCAGTAAAACAGGAAAATGCAGACATTGGTCACTTTGATAGCCATTTCGATGTGAAAAGTTTGCTGCGTTAAGAAATATATATTGTGCCTTTCGAATTACATGACCGCTTTATCGAAAAATAGCATTTTATTAAGGCTTTTTTCCCCCAAATTCCATTCAAAACAGTTCTACAGAACAATTGACATTTCATTGATTCTTTCAAAATAGCTTTTACATAAATTGTCAAAAAAAATCTTTTTTTTTTTTTAAACTGTAAGTGCATAAATAAATCCATATGTTTACATTTCTGTTTTCTGTTGTCGATGAGACCGATGTTTTCACCGTCTCTAAATGTTGCATGGATGTGAGCGAAGCGTCTTCTGCCTAAAGCTCCTGCAGGTTTATTTGATGTCATGTTGGCTTGTAGAGTTTCAGGATGTGGTCCTCCAACACTTTCTGAACTAAAAGAGAAAGGGGGAAAAAGTTTTTTTTGTTTGTTTTTTTTTACAGATCATTTATGACAAAAGCTTTTAAAAATGGTTTAAATCGACAATTGTAATTATTGCCTTGCAGACATATTCATATTCCAAATACTTTTACACATTTTGGTTCATTACAACCATAATCTTTAATTTCTTTATTTGGGATTTCATGCGAAAAAGAAAAAGGAAAACTAAGAAAAATTAGTGCTGGATTCATGGTGTTCCTTTTTTTTTCTTTTAACCAAAAATCTGAAAGTGTGGTTTTAATCTTTATTCAAGACATTTTAATTAGTCATGCCTGAATAAAATTTTGTGCAACAGATAACCAGAAGTGGGTAAATAGTTTGAGTGTATTTTAATCTCAGTGTAAATACAGCTGCACTTTGAAGGCCTTCAATGTTTTTTTTAAGGAGCATTTATGAACTGAACAGTCATGTAGAACAACAAGGCCATGAATAAATTTGTTGGGTGGTTTGAAATCAGGTTATGACAAAAAATAAGCCACTAAAACCTAGTAGCAGAACAATCTGATAAAACATTTAAACTTAACTTGCATTCAAAATGTGTTTTTTTTCTTCTATCACATAAAATACTAATAAATTACATTGCAGTTTGTGGTTTTAACACGACAAAATGAGAGTAAATGTAACTCCTTAGAGCAATCTAATACATACGTTTTTTGTGTCCAAGTGCAACAGCTAAGGCCATTGGACTGTAGCCAGAGTCCGACTCTATGGTCATATCTGCTCCCTTAGCTGTAAGAAATTAACATTGTTAGAATAAACCTGCTTTAACAGAGTTTTATTACAATTATATATATGTATATATATTTTTTTTGTATAAAAAAGACATGCAATGTACCAAGTAGAGCTTCTACACATTTGATGTGGTTCCCTCTTACAGCATAAAGAAGAGGAGTTCCACCATTCTGAGAATGAAAAAAACACAGTAGTTATATTTTAATATATAACTTGTTCTGCTGATTTATATTCAGCATGTGTGAGGGAAATGTCTAAAGTCCCAGCTGTACCCAGTCGTAGGTGTTAATGTCCACTCCATGTCTGAGGAGAGACTCGACGATGTCCACGTAGCCGCCAGAGCTGGCCAGAGTCAGGGCGCTCTCTCGCTCCCTTGCAATTGTATTGGGATCCGCACCCTTTAAAATGTATTTCTATGAAATTTTTATTTCATTGAAAATGACACTGAAGAGTTTCTATGTAATGCATGTCTTCTTTTTTTTCTCCTAACCTTTTCCAGGAGAAAGTCCACCATAGCTTTTTCTCCAAACGCAGCCGCCCACATGAGGGGTGTAAAACCCCGATCATCCTGCGTGGTGAGCACTGAGCTGTCTGCAAGATGAAAACACAAAACACTCGGAATTGTGGAATCAAGTACTTTTCAAGACAACAGGAAGGGATTTTCTTGCCTTTACTTAGATGTGCAGCCACTTGCAAAACGTCACCCTGAGCTGCCAGCTGATGTATGGACAGAGCTGTTGGGAGGTTGAAAAATAGCTGATACAAATCAGTTTTGAGCAGAGGTTTACACGCATTCATGGGGGCAATAAAAGTCATATCCATTTTGGGCTTTTAAATATTGATGATCTTTTATTATTTATTTTATGTTATTTTTTTTATCTGGATGGACTGATATGACAAACAACTTCAGAGCTCCAGCAAAACACTGGGGATTTGAATTTATTGCAGATTTAGTCTAATACATAAAATCATCATGACCAATGTTTGGATAAATGTTTCTTAGCCATAAATACCCCTAGGGAATAGTTATTGTAGCTATCAACAAGCTTCTGGCTGAATATATGACCACTTTTTTTGGGTGAACCAACAAATTTAAATAAACTTTTAAATTCAAGCATAATTTCAAGCATAGACCATGAATATATCAATATGATTAAGGATGGCATTGAAATACGTAATGGTGTAATTGTTGAGGTTCTGAAGGATTTGAGCTGCCAGCTGTCCATCAGGGTGGACACTTGGATCTCTGATCTTTGGTTTGAGAACCATATTTTGACATCTCCAAATGTACTTCTTGTCAGTACATGGGGATCTACTTGGCCAAACAGCTCAAGTAGATCCCTATAGATCTGCACCCTTTCAGTTCATGGCACTGTTAACTACTGTTAACTGAGGACAGTGGCATTGGTGCGCCAACATATTCCAGGTTATATTAAGCTTATCGAAAACGTACTATAAATTATCGGTGTTCTATTCATTTTTTGTTTTTTTTTTAAATACTGCCATTGTGTGGATGTCTAGGATGCACCATCAAAAGTCCCAAATAAATATGGACTTTTGTGCCTGCAAATAGTCTCCTGATTTTTTAAACTGCAAGTTCCTAAGTGCATTTACTTACAGTCTAATGTTGCTGGACGTACTGTCACTTCATTCCCACGCTGCTTGTTGGTCAAAGTAGTGGAGTGTTTAAAGATGTCATCCTCCTCCACATCCATCTCTGGAGAACCAATCAGAGAAAACACACCCGTGTTAGTGGTCATAGACAGAGGTGATGCTTTATTTACAGTCCATCCAATCTAAGACTACCAGGATCAGATGACACAGAAGACTGGTAGTGTAAAGTGTCAAGCATGTGAGCGCATTTGGAAGATATAATACCGTTTGGATTCCCACGTGTTGAGCTGGAAGAGTGTTCAGCAGCATCAGACTGCTGACTGTGATGGCCATTTGCAACCTCTTCATCATCTCTGCTCTCCATCATAACTGCATAAAACAATTTGATACTAGATTGTGCGTCTGCACAAATAAGCGAGAGTTAATAAAATAATAGTTGATGAAATTCCTCACCTCATCCAGCCACATTCACAGACCCACTTCCTTTTGGGAAAACAGAAAGTGTCAAATTTCCGCTCGATCGCCGGATCGTTTCGGCTTCCGAACTGTTTAGAAAGTACACTTCTCACGTTGTTCGGTTTCTTTGCTAGTTAGAAACAATGTTAAGGGAACAGACGAGATGAAATGTCGTTTGAATCAGCAGTCCGTCTCGGGTATCAAAGCATCTCTGACTACAGTCGCGACGGAAAAACGTTCGCCAGAGTCCGTGTTTCCGCCCGGAATCTCGTCGTGTTGCACAGATGGACAATAACACGGAAGCGGGCATCAGCTGACGCCGTTCTTCGCGCTGTTGGCTTCTGAGAGGAGAGACGAGCTTTTGTCATGGACGACCAAGAGATGCAACTGAAAGTTAGGAGAGGTAAACAGCAACAGAACAAATCCGTATTTTCTATTGTATGTAACCAAACATTAACATGGCAGCGCTAAGAAATGGTTTCTGAAGCTAGCGGCCAAGCTAAGTCTTACATATAACACCGTGAGGTGATACGCTATTGTCGTGTTTCATGGCACGATTTGCACATTTAATGCTGTGTCCCTGCTTGTTTGACCCCACAGTGAGTGACAAATTCACGGAGAGTATGTATGTGCTGGCTAACGAGCCGTCAGTGGCTCTATACAGGCTGCAGGAGCACGTCAGGAGATCCCTGCCTGAGCTGGTGCAGCACAAGGTATTCCTCCTTCAGCTCGATGTTGCACCTTACAGCTGTCTGCAGTATTAAAAAAGTAAAAAAAATATATATAATCTCCCAGCAACATATTGTAATTTCAGTGAATAATCATCTTTAGACTATCTTGTTTTGAGTCTGAAACTTAATTACAAACAAATTTTGGCTCCTGATCAATAAATGTTTTGCTTTTTAGTTATGCATGCATTGGATAGTTTACCTAATCTTTATTTAATTTATTGATCCAAAGATGCTGACCTCCCTTTGTTATTCATATTGATGTTAGATTAATTAGTTTTATTATTGCTTACGTTTATATGTTGTTTAGGTTTGAAGACATATTTAAGACACAGACTGTCACTCCAACTTTCTTCTTTAGAGTCATTTTAAAGTTTTTAAAATGACTTTAAACTATGGGAATTGTTGAACAGAACAATTGTGGGGGGGTGGGAGTTGTTGCTATGTAGCTTACCATATACACTGAGCTGTGCCACCAGCCAGCAGCAGATGATGAATCAAAGAGATTTTTTGGAGAAGCTTGTTTTTATTTGAATTTTGTCATCCTTGTGTTTATTGTGGCACATTAGCAACAAGGATGTGGGATTTTTCTTTCTTTCAAAACTAACAAATATTTTAAAAAGTTATTTAAAATTTCTCTGACTGATCTATTGTATTTTAGGAAATTCTGATGAATTTAGTCAAAGTTCCGCTTAATAATCTTTAGATTGAGACAATCTAATTAATTATTTTAGTGGTCTAAAATAACTTGAGTTCAAAATTAAGTGAATCACAGCTAATTTCAAGGAGCACACAAATAAATTTTTTTTTTTTTTTCACAAAACTTTTTTTTTCTGTTGAAATCAATTTTTCCGAGAAGCATGCTGCGTGATGCCTTTTAATCAAGTTGCACTATTAACTATATTGTCTTGATAAAGTCTATGTCAACATTTGTTTCTTTCTTTGTTCCTTTTTTCCACAGACAGACATGCAGAGTTGGGAGGAACAGAGTCAGGGAGCCATCTACACAGTAGAGTATGCATGCAGGTGAGACGCTTCAT